TGATGCTGGCATTGATTCCGCAACACTACCTAAAAGCGGCACTGATTCTCACCGGTCGAGTGCTATAACTATTTATCTATCAGGTACAGCTTTAAATGACTCAGTTCGTCACCTTTATAGACATACCCCGATCGTAGTCCTCTGAGAGCCTAGAGAGATACATCGCCGACGCTACAATCGCAGTCGGGTTTGCGACTAGATTCTCTATACACACATGTTAATATTGGCAATGCATACCTAGCGACAACATATTGATGAATATTATCCTGAGATATGTCGCTCGTGATTGTGTGACAGACCAGCTAAGCTATAACATAAAGCCGCAGGAAACAATGAGTTTAAGGTGTACTCGAAGCCAGAAGTTTTGAGCAAGAATTTGCCAAGCACTTCGAAGTCAAACCTTGACACAGTCATCATCTCCGTCAAATATCCAGCGGCTTCTGAATGCCCTAACGTTTCCTCAAAGAGCCTTGGGGCAGCCGCCTTACATTTATGGAAGTCAAAGAAGACCAGACAATCTCTTCCCCAAATCATGCAAATGCCGTATCGTTTTAGTAAGTACGATTACAGTGCCTGGTTTGTTAAATATAACAAGGATGAGTTTTATCTGCGCAGTCGCAAAGATGCTCGTTTCTAGCCAATCGGCATCCATGTATTCAACAGACATTCGAAGAATACACCCACCAAACTTCCTATGTATTCGTCAATAATATATAACATCTGGGAATGGAAAGGTCAGTTCTATTCTCTGCCATCACTTCCATATAGAAAGCGCAGGACTACGCCAGACATCCAATATAAGATTCAAGTCTCCCCAAAGCCTCCAACTTAAAAACGACTACTATATGTGTGGACCAATGTGCACTAGATATGATTAAGCACCCCATTAACTTAGCTGACAATATGTAATTACGACGATGCTTAGTTGAGATTAGGCACTTTCAACTCTAAGATGTTCTTCTCGGTTGCGAGATACCCAAGTCCTGCTTTGAGAGAAGGGGTCTGGGCTCGTAAATATATACAAGGTTCTACCCATCAGGCAGTATACCCATAACGCCAACATCATCACATTATAGGAAATTTGTAGGCCCTACCAAAAAAAGAATCAGGAATGATAATCACCAGCTAAGGTTACATATTCTTCTCACATTCTTTGACATTGGTACTAGACACAACTGCGATGAGGTCGAAGGTGCTTGAAAGGCTAGTAAGGAATAGACACGGGGTAAATTTATATACTATTCGATATCAACTTTCTCGTAGTTATTACACTGCAGCTCTAAATTTTGAACGCTAATTGCATGGTAAGTCGTAGGTAGATACACAACTTTGATGTCTCTGACGAGAGCCCGTCCTCTAAAAGATCATTTCTCCCTGAGAATTTGGACTATTTGAGAAGTAAGATCTAGTCTCAACAGAAATATTGTGGACCTCTTTACCAAGCTTGTCTTTATATATCAGTCGCCGGTGATTTGCTACGACTTTCCAGTACTGATGTCGATTAGGTGCTGATTAATATACCGATGATATTGTTCGAAGGCTTGCAATAACATGTCGTCGGAGTTTATGTTGTATTTAACAGTGTACTAAAATTCAGTGGACTTTACCCGCAAGGAGAGAATTAAAGCTAATTAAAAGAGAGTGTGCAACTTCATTCATCCGCATAATAACCTGTCGAGAACTAGCGTTGAGCATGGCTACTAGGTGAGATCTTTTCGTATACCAGAAATATACACCGGAGTAGACTAGCAAGAGAAGTAATTGAAACATCCCCGTTGGTTGGGGCAAGGGATATCATTGTGTTTTTTTGTATGAAGTGAATATACGACCAGTAAAAACGAACATAGTATATATATTTCTAAAGTCTAGTGGAAGACTAGTCCAGGCTCCTTCTTTCTACCGAGTAAGAGTCCAGATATCCCATAATATCATTCTTTACAATGAACATCTGCTCCCTAATGGTATTTATCCCCTCAACAGCTAATGCAGCCATACTACTCAAGAAATGAAACAACCGACCTACACGGTATGACTTCCCTGACATCTACCCAGAAACAATCTGACAGATGAAATTCCTCTGCCTGTCAATTCCCGCACGTCCATAGAATCATTCCACAGGATCGTATTGAACCGAATATTCTTAAATATAGATACATTCCAAGATCTATATCTCTACAATAGTCACAGCAACCGGGGCGCTACACAAAATATACAACATAGATATATCCCCTTTGTATATTACCCACCCCTGACTAGTTGAACGATCGACATACCAAGATCACCAGAGATACCAGATACCTGATGCTGCGACAGTGACGTGAACTTGGTATTCTGCAGAAGAGAGAGAGATGTGGGGTGGGGTTGACGCTTTCAGGAATGTGGCGAGCGTCGGGTTCGGCCAACGAGTGCTTGTTTTATATTTAGTAACGGCATGGTTGGTTGAGTGATCTCAGACATATTATGTATGTTGTTTCAGTTCTATATACAGATAAGTGGACGTTGCTGTGGGGGTTGTTTTGGGAGGTTTTGTTAAGGAGTGTGGTTTTATTTTCGATACTGATTGATGGGTTTTATTGATGATTCTGGGAGGCTTTAGTGGATGGCTTGGGAAAGAGGGGATGATGTTGTGGTTGGCTACTCGTATGTTTTCGAGGATATATATTTTGGTGTGAGGTTTAAAGTGGGGAAGATGATAGTGATAAAAACACGTGATATGTATTCGGTTTTCTTGAGCCTTAGATTGAAATTATGCATATGAGGCTAAAGTGGAATTCATGGCTGTCAGCTCGAGGATACATTTTGACCACATACGATCGCCACTCCCGCTGTGTACAACATATTTCAACAGGGAATGGTGGATGGTTACCTCAGATACAAGCCAAGGGGGTTATGGTAATCCAGTTCGAGTTTTTCATCCACCACATACTACTACAGTATGATATGCCTGAACATACTGATAGTTTCCATAGCAAGAAAGAGCGGTATCCTCTATCCAGAATATGGATAGGCCGCTGTTAAAGCATGGAATACGGAGGTGCCTAACCGTCCGTTGTGTTTCACCATTGGTGACAGATGGACCCTGCATTAGTTGACTAGCACATGACAGGTTGTTTCTGATGTCATGTGAAAGAGACACACCTCAGCTCGCCCGTAAGATCTTACAGTAGTATGGTAAACTTCATCACATGTGATGAGACCAACGGCTGACTGCTAAGTAGGCAGGTACGTTGTTGTCCTTTGCTGGTGCCAGCAGAGCTTTTGCTGTGTTTGGATGTTTTCCCGGGCTATCGGCTGTTTTCTCCACCATCAAATCAACTCTCGGAAGTCACCACAAACAGGTTGGCAAGATATTGCTTGGCGAACCAAAACGTCATTCCATTCCCTCGACGAAGATATGAAGAAGTTAAAATAGAAGCGTCGCCACGGATGGCTTCTCACAATAAGCCGAAAAGGGTCCTCTGTTCTGGAGAACAAAGTAGATAGTCTAGATAGTCGATAGATTGTCTTACCCCTCCCTACTGTAAGTGCTACTGCTAGCCTTGTGGTCCTTGGGGCACTGAGACCTTGTTGGTTTTCGCTTTCAGGGGGGCGCGCAAAGATGACCTAAAAAAAGGTAGACAAAAGAGGGGAAGTGCAGGAAGACAAGAAAGACAGAAATAAGAAAAAACCGATCTAGCTAGCGTAGGTACCGGTTAGTCTTTTTTTTGCACAGGGGTGGGCAACGAATGATGAAGGGTTTAGTTGGCAAAGAATGGGCCAAGTCAGGCACCGTCGACGCGTGATAGGCCAGATGGCCGGAATGGGGAAATTACCGGCGAACCTTAGCAACCACGCCAGCGACCATGCCAAGGCCGACTAGGCGTAAAGCGGAGTCTTGGACCACGCTTGAGTGGAGGGCCAAAGACGAGTTTAGTCCCCTTTTGGTCGAGGACGAGTAAACAGCTGACTAGACTAACTGCGAATAGTACTGGTAGTAAACTCTGCCCCAGGCCAACTGTCCACCCACCCCTGCCTGCACTCGGTCTGGACTGCGCCTAAGCGCCCTTGCGCCTCGTCCCTGTCGTGCCGGCGTCCACCGGCCTGCCTCTCTCCCTGCCCTGCCCGGCACTCCTCTCTCCTCCCTCCGTCGTCTCCTCTTTCTCACCCTTCCTGCGCTCGCTCTCTTTTCTGCCCTTTCTTTCCCTTTGTTCCTTTTCTTCCATTCTCCCAGGCGACAACCCCCATACCAACCCCTCCCCTCATTCTTCCTCCTTCCTCCACCCCCGTCACGTTCTCTTTTTCCTAAGCAGGTGTCGGCTTCACTCTTTCAGCTGCTCACCTTGCTGTCCGTTCGTTCGCTATAACCAACCTGGTCGATTTCCATCACCCCAGTTGAAGCCAACCTCCCCACACTCGCCTCGACTACTTGATCCTACCGACCTGATACATTCCCTCCTTTTGTCCCACGATCCCGTCTCCAACCGGTCCTTCCATACGAAAAAGAAAGAAAGCAGATCCGACAATCTGATTCTATCGCCACGAGACCCTTGTTGAGACATTGTAAGTGACTGTCGACGACAGGCTGCTGTGCTGTGTGCCATATCCAGAATTGACCCGGGTATCGGAGGAAATAGTACAACTTCAATTCTTGAAATAACTTCGCCGTATATCGAAAAGCACGCGGTTACTATCCAAACTCTTTCATTCGGATTGCATCCGAAGACCTATCAAACACAAAAAATCCAACCATCAAAATCATGTTCAACCCTATTTCGAAGCTTGTTCGGCGCGGTGATTCTGGAAGCAACGATGGTCTCTCTCCCTACATGGTCGATCTCCTGATTTCCCTGCTGGTTCTCATTCTGCTCGGTCTCGCCCTGGTCGGTGCTCTTCTTGTTCTGCGCCGCAAGCGCCTGAACCGCGAACAATCCGAACTTCCTGTACACAACGGGCAATGCGTGCCCAACCACCGTCGTTTCACCGTCTCTGCTTCGCCGAACGCCAAGACAGAGTCCGTTCTGGTTTATGACGAGAAACGCAGTCTCATTGAGAATTCGTCGAGTCCCCCGCCCAGTCCGGTTCCCGAAATTCGCATCACGTTCCCGGAGGAGGAGGACGAATCCGGCAAGCGCAAATCGGGTCGTGTTGTGGTTGTGAGAATCACCGACGCAGGTGGAGTGGGCTTGGAGCCTTGCAACGAGGAACTTCCGCCGTATCAGTCCAGCGATGCGGAGCGATTCCAGTCGTTGGATATCGAGCGCATGGGTGGGCTCAAAGAAAAGGAAGCCACCAATAGATGGTCTTAGAAGGATCGAACTGCTGAACGACAAACCGTCATCTGCTCATTCTTCCCATCGACTGATACCCCCTCGAATTACCGACGTCGCCTGTTTGTCGCACCTGGACGAGATTCGAAAAGCATGACGATATCCCGGCGAAGATTTGCCTCGTTTCCATCTCCGTATTTAGACCGCTCTGCTTCATATTACCTTCGCGACTTGCACATACGCAAATACTCCGTCCTGTTTAGCCACCACGCTCGCCGTTTGACCCTGGGTTTCAGTCTCGACCAAACTTCAAGCGCGTCAAGTTATAAACTGACCGATCTGTGCTTACTGGCCCGACCTCTGTACAGCAAGGCTTGCTGGTTTTCCTTGATATTTTGTGCTTTATTCTCCTTGATAAGGCGTTCATTTCTTGTGCTTGGCCACTTTGGTTCTCTTCACCCTGCCACGTCACTAGGGTTGAAGAGACGTTACGCATTGGTTTGGTTGAAGTTTTCATTCTCCTTTGCATTCTTACTTGCTTCTTATCTTACCCTTCTCTTCTCCCACGCTCGCCCTCTACAAGTCTCGGGTTTGCGTTCAGGGGTGTCTTACAGCTGGATAATGTATGTACCTAGTCTGACTCTGCATTGGATGGCCGCCTCACGAGGTGTGAGCCCCAATGAATGCGTTTATTTGATAAATACATGAACTCTTGATCAGCGACTTGACGAATTTCAACTATATTGGACTGGTGTCTACCCGTCCACATGACATAAGCTCTGACCTAGGAGTGACATTTGGTTCAGCCGTGCTTACAAGACAAGATGTACAATGAAAGCAGTTTAGCACCTTTACTCAAGGGTAAACTGGTCTAGAAGCCGTTCGCATCATTAATGGTCCTGGTAAACAAGGAGAGAAGCCCTTTGTCGTCCGGCCGAATTACTTGCCCTTGAGAGTGGCAAACAAAGCCTGAAAGGGTCTCTTGAAACATTCCACCAAAGAACAGGGTTAGCTAGCCGTGGGACTGGAATTAGGGCGGAAATGAAGCTAAAAGTTATACCAAAAGTACTACTAACTTGGCTTGTTCCTCTGGTCAAGAAGAAATAAATCATCGAACGTATTATCTGAATCGACACTAGGTTTGTCCTGTACCTTCAGCGGATAAGAAAAGATCATATTCGTAGAGGTAACGGTGTAGTGGGTTTCTCGTATAACAATATGATAAGGCTTTGGACTTGAGTCATTGATTATAATAGTTGGATAGGTTTCTGACTTGCAGGTTGTATACAAAGTGATTGTATTGGATTGGATCTTGTCACTTCGTTATCTCCCTATTGTACTTGGTTAGCACGTGGATACTAGTTATGTTGGGCATAAAAGCTTATATAAGGTGGCTTAATGTTGATTAGCTATAGTTGATTAGTTGTTCTACTCTTCATCATGTATACCATCTCACTTCAGCCAACCCAAGCTGTTGATAACCAGAGACCCCAATATCCGTGGGAATATCATTGGCTATTGCCAGTTAAGACAAGGAGCTTACCGAGCATTCCAACATTCGCCTCATTCACCATTTAAAGCCTCCGCCATTTGCTATAATCAGGCAGAGGAGAGCGCAGATAACAGCTATTCCCATGGAAAGTACCTTATGATAGAAGTCGAAACAAGATGGATTCTACCATAATGATGTGCCATCCAATAAAAGTGCATGCTTGTTCTTCCTTTGTCTCTTGCTATGATAGGTTCAGATGCCACCGCGTGATATGCTCTCAATGGTGGTGATGTGGTATGCACCCTTCGACATCGGAGATTGTTAGGAAGATAGCTTGAGCATGAATGGATAGAGGAGTACCTCCCTTGGTGTAGTGAAAGTCACAAGATACTGATGACTCTATGGTTTCAGGTACCTCGGGTTCGGCCACCGCACAGAGATATAGAGGATGGAGAGTCTGCTGAAGAGTGGAGCGATTTTGAGACACACTAGTGATTGAAAGAATTATGGATTTGGGGTATTGGCTACTCTTGTGGGAAGATCAGAGACACTCGTAACGCCAGTTGCTTACACCATTCGGGTTCGACCACTGTACAGCAAATTAGAAGATGGGAGTTTGCTGAAAGCGGATTGGACTTTGAGACACAATGGTTTGTCTGAAAGAGTAAAGAGGAAAGCCCTTCAATGATAGTCGGATTCACGAGACGCGCGAGGTACAACAGGAAAGATGCTGGGTACAATACAGTGTGAAGACAAGTATCTCAACGGCTGTGTCCGTCTCGTTTGATTCGCAAGAGGTATCTTCTTCAAGACACCAGCAGGTCACAAGGTCATTACCAAGAGGTCTCGATCGGCTATACTCTGTGACCAGATGGATGAGACCGAGAAACGTATTCTCCAAGATCAACAGAAACAGAACTGATGATTCAATCTTAACTTATAAAGATGCCCATTACGTCCACGGCATGATTGAGGAAACCACTTAACTTATCTCATCTCAATCCATCTCATCGCCTCTCATCGCCTCTAATCCCATCTCGTCTCACTTCAGTCAACTTCCTTGCACTATGGCTACTCCAGCTTCTGCTTCGATGCTTACTTCTCTTAGGTCGGGTTTGGCTATAGCTTTAGACACAGCTCGAGCTCTAGTTCCTGCCCCGGCTTTGCCACCAGATTTATCTTTCAGTTTCCTCAACCCTGCCAAATTCCCTGCATACCCGAGTCCCGAGTTGAGACGATACGTGGCATGGCTGCTGAGGGAGGCCGAGGTACCTGCCTTTCTATGGGGGCCCGAGATAACCCGGATATACGGAAGCAAGAACAAATTCCGAGTAAGTAATCTTGAAAAAAATTTCCTATACCCCTTCACACACTGTACCACCACTTTCAGCTCAGCTGGCTAATGTAATAACCCGCACAGTACCACCTCTGGGCAGTAAAGGATGAGGAAATGGAGAAGGCCGTGCAAGTGCTCGATAAGGCTGGATTCCCGCCCTGCCAGAATGGCCTTCGTTGTACGGTCTTTGACCCTCAGTACACTAAACTTCCATCTCCCGACCATCACTACCACACAGATCACAATTATGAACAAGATAGTGTCACTAGCGGTGTCTATTTGTACCGGAAGTCCCGACTATTCCCATCTCTCCCTGATCCGCCGCTTCACGACCTGGAGCCTAATGACAGATACTATATGCTCAATTCCGACGAACGGTTCCCACACTGGAACATTGGTGCTAGTGAGCGCTCGTCTGAGCAAAAGTACCCTGTTATCGTTCCTACGCCTGCCAGATATCTGGAGGCCATTTGTCTGCTGGCTGTCCGTTATATGGAAGGGCAGCATTCGAGTATATTTTGGAACGCGGAAAAATATCGCATGATGAATCTCCTGGGCGATAGGTTTGTCGATGTATTACAATTGAGCGACCTTGACGAACCATGGTATGAATATTGCAGGCGAAATGTTGACCGCAGTCATAGCAACCGCGTGGATGACTGGCGAGGTCGCAAGTACCAGGTCATGATCTATGCTGATCTGAAGGAAAAGGGCCATCTTCAACCACCTGAGACAAAGGAAATTCTACAAAGTAGAGGGTTGAACCCGGCAACTGCAGAGGCTAGGGGTTTGTTTCCGGATGCACTACTCACGTGAGAATCAGCTCGCTTCACGCATCCTATCGCTCTATATCAATCATTGCTTGCTATCCTTCACTCATACACGCTCATTCTCTTGCTATCTCCTTTTACATATATCATTACACTCATTGATAGTCTGTATGCTGCTTCTAAGTGTTACGAAATCCAGCTTGTAATCCTTTGACTTTGGAAGTATGACACCGTGTGCATAGTATACACCGAAAGCATGCTTCTCCACCACTTTTCTCCAAGTTCCTGCAGTAACAGCAAAACAAATAGGTACATAGAGACAAAAGAACCGAAATGTAAGCAGAAATCTCAGCAAAAAGACAAGCAGACGGTAGACACAGGTAGGGCAAAAATTAGATTAATGTAAGCAATAAACATAGATAGATCAAACAAACAAAGAAACTTTTTTTCTCTGGGTTTCAAATAAGAAAGGCCAACAGACACATTAAACAGCAGACAATGAACGAAACAGACACAACAACAACAGAGAACACAAGCGAGCGACTGAAGCCCCTGCGGGATTGTGCTTTATCGAAGATAACCTCCCAATCGAAATCTGGGACTTTCCCAAATTTGGCAAGATATTCATTTGAATCATTCAGAATCTTCAATTGATCAGACGTCGGACGATGCCGAGAAGTGTAATTGTGATCGAGATTGATAAGTTCGATAAGTTTGACCACGTCGGCGGCATCTTTGTCATTCTGCTCCTGGGATCTCATGCCGCAAGTATAGGCCTTGCAGACCATGAGGTCCAGTTTATCAATGAGCGGAAGCCTGGTGTGATGAAACTGCTGAAGGGGCTGGAAGCCTGTGGGGACATACGGCAACTATATAAACGAGAGAGCGAATACATCAATCATTACCGTATTTGCCCCATTGTAGAGATCCGCCTGAGGATCGAAAGGAGAGGACTTCTAGCCTGGAAAATTGCTTACCTCATTTGTCGGAATTATGCTTATACGGGGACGGCCGAGAGCCATATTCCAGTATAGCAAATTTGTCGGCCGCTCGAAACCGTTGATCTGGGCCAGTTTTGCTTTGATCTTGCGGGACCAACTTGGGGGGATGAATTGCGATTTCCAAATTCTGCGATACTTGGTCAGCAGATATCCTGTATAGCCCTTACTAGTATTCTGCTTGCCTCTGTTTCTTCTTCGCGGATGTAGCAGTGGACTGTCAGGTCTCCTACGATGAGGCATTGTAGCTCGTCGAAGTCATCAATTGCTTGAAGGTCTGGATCAGTCATGAGTAATGTAATGAACTGCATAAACCTATCAATAGTAATGTCATTAGTGGGCTGAAGGAACGAAACAGTTGCCTTATAGATAAAATGTGAGATGAATTCCACGATGATTTCAACGAAAGGATGCATTGCAGACGATAGGGAGTTTGTCGTGTAGATGAGAATACTTCTTGGTAAAAGGACTGTGCGTATGAACAAGGGTGTAGGAAAAATGATACCTAGAGAGCACAGCTTTTGAACGGGCAGTTGGGCTGGATGGATGTTTTATATCAAAGGAGTGGCCTTTGGCGTTAACATATCGTAGGGGAAAGAGAAACAATACATCTGTCGTCATTAATTCTCGTGACTGAAAGACATAGTTACCTTCAACATGTGTCCCGATTGTGATTTACTGCAGATGCACTGAACCCAAGCCGAAAGTCAACCCAAAAGTCAGATTACAACGAACCTTTCCAATAACGGAGTGCCCGGACACTTTCCTGTGGCTTTCGTCATAAGAGGTCTCAATGCGAAGTAAGCCTATCGGTGGGCCATCCATATGTGGAGTATTGAGTCCCTTTCTTGGAGGGCTGTGTAGATACGCGACGACCTGGGCATGATGAATTCTAGGCCTTTGAAGGCCAGTGACACGAGACTGTCAAAAGTCCCGACCCGTGGAGAAGCAGACGTCTGAAAAATGAGGGACTTCAAGGCTTACATCCGTTGCAGGCCATGAAAAGAACTTCTTGTGACGCTGTCGGGACAGTAGAGACACGAATATGGTAGACACCGACAAGACAACTATTCAACGGCGATAATGCTTCCTGACAATGTGTATAGGCGGCAGAATTATGGAGGGTCACCCTCAAAGGAGAAAAAGCACGGGGTAGAGTATACCCTTCGGTCTAAGGAGGCAGCGAGAGTAGACTTGCCGATGGGAGGACCGCCGCCCATCGCATAGCATTGTTGATGTTGGGACCCTCAATGAACGACCGTTCGATTGGACAAGTGATGCCGGAGGGCGCGTGGTGATCCGTCCCGTATTTCCAAGACAATGTCTATTCACCAGGTCGCTCTTCCCTTTTACTCAATAGGCAGGGGGTCTAGTCTGGCAGAATGGGAGTCCCAACATCACGAATGATGGTAATAGAGTTCAATCATAGTTGATGATAGGTGCCATTTCAGACATCACAACCCCCATGGTAAAGGAAATAGGGGACGAGAGGATGACGTGCGCTTGAAAGGATAGCGTTTCAGAGAGGTTCCGCATCTCCTGAAACATGACTTGCAGTTCGTGTTAGCAGATACTGTTCGTCCATAAGCGATTGATAGTTGGATATCAATATGAACAGACAATCGGGCCCGGCCAGCATGGGCGTCCAGCCAGCCGATGGCTCTGATCGTCAAACTGGGCGGAGATAGCATCTATGAAAGTCTGACTGGCGTAACGAACGACAGCGAACTGATCTGGAATGTCCAATTGTCTCACTCAAGAGATACTCCGGGGGTGAGTGGGTGTCTAACAAAGGCTTCTTGTAGAGACGTGAAGCAACTCTGAGCAACGTACTTTGGGGAGGCAGGCACTGAATACATCGACCTCCAAAGGAAGGTGCAATCACCTGACCGCGCTTGCCCAAAATCCGCCAAAACAAGAGTATCACAAAAGTATCATCCGCTCAGGCTTTGCGTGGGCTTTACCTAGAAATTTTGCTAAGTGTTGCCGACAGTCAACTTACGACAGTCATCATGACCTGGTACGCCTGGATAGCGCTTAGATTACATTCCGTTTCCCTTCATTCCGACCCATGGCTTCTCTATCTCGAGACACCTACCTCTTTTCCTCGTTTGGCTGACGCCACTGGCCTCCCACAAGAAACTCAATGAGTGGCTTTTCTTACATGCTCCCCCTTTTCCTTTTCACCGATCTTATTTTCTGGTACTGACAAAATGCTGTATCTCAGGTCGCTTGATGACAAACAGCGATCTGCCAGATCTAGTCACTAAGAGAATGCTTGACAAAGTCTACGGCAATCAAAAGTCTCGCCACAGTAAGAGCCACAGTGGTTTGCGCCAGCTACCTCCCAAGAGCATCTTACTAAGGGGGCCGCCTGTACGCCTGAAACCCTATTCTAGACACGGAAGCCTCATAGGGGACCTCAAACAGAAAGGGGGAACCTTAGGTAACATTCGTCTCATACGGCTGGGGATTATCGTCACTGGGTAGGTCCATACTTGCATGTTTTCTTTTCTGTTCTTTTTTTTTTCGTGTGTGTGTGTGTGTGTGTTTTGGGAAAGATGAGTGGCGTGAGCTACACATGTGGTATGAGCAATAGCCGGAAGCGCCTCATAGTGTGCTCTGTAGGTTCTAGAAGGTCGAGAGCGATCCTGCACCCGCCATATCAACCTAAACTCAGACACATGCATTAAACCTTTCTTCCGGCATCTGTAAATCTCCATCTTGAGACAGGAAGACTGATTTTTAGATACGATAGCCCTTCTGGATTCCAACAAAACACCGATGCTTTCTACCACAAGCATTCAATTCATCTCTTTCTTGCAAAACCCAGTGTTTGTTATTTATCAAACTGTAGTCAAACAGAAAAAGCCCCTTCACCACCTCTACCACTGATGTTTTCTCTTCTCATCTTCTTCCTTTGATAAGCTAGCTAGAACGCAAGAAAAGATCACATGGCACACTTTATTCCTGTTTTGCCTTGCAATATTCCTCTATATGCTAGATATAGTAATTTACATAGACGAGACTCTACACAATCTTATACAGCTTACCACGCCCCAAGCAAGTCAAATGTTGGTAGCACAAGCCCGTCAGACACATACAGCGGACATTCAGCACCCATGAGAACAGCCGTACGCTGTCAATATACGTACTATGGAGCAGATCCTCTGAAATGGTCATAGATCAAGGACTTCCACCCATTATCCCAGATCCATACTGAAACCACACACATCTTCTCGTAACTCAGCCTATTAGACCCGCTTTTACGACTGGCAGAGTTATCCACTGTTTGATTCTGCACTCAGACTGAAATAGAACATGACTCAGGCCACTATCGTAATTACTGATCTAACCATCATGCTGTGGAGTTGATCGATTTAGGTTTGCGGCCGATAATTTGAACTAAGTAGTTATATGAGATGGGTGATATACCATGTATTGAAACTACTGTAGGTATAATAAACAACTACCTACTACTTACAGGGCGGGTGCGGGAAGTGGGGATCTACTATCAGTCAAATATCAATGTATCTATCTACGATCTACTATGTAGTGTCATAAATGTCTTGGTATCTAGATGTATGAACTTTATTTGGCACTGCTCTCCTATCGCAGAGTGAAAGCAAATGGTGATTCACTTCCAAGTGTCAGATGGTGTTAAGGGCGGAATTGATCATCAATGAAGTAATAAGCTGTCTCAAATGGAGTTGAAAAACACCAATGTCATAACTACGTTTCTAGTCTACGCAGGTGACAATGGTGCGATACTACTTCTGATTATTTACTTCATTTCCCAAGGTATGCCTGAGTGGACCAGGACAGTAAAACATCGCAATGAAAGAAACAGGAGGTAAAAAGAAAAGAAAGACTTTCTGAGGACAGTGAACTTTTGTTTTGCGTGCTGCAGGGCAAAAGGGGTATTTACACAAGTCGCAAAGCATGGGTGTTAAGATGTACAGTCATCCGTCGTAGCAAAGGGGTCATAAGTGAGTCAATGAAAATCAGGTGAACTATTATTGTTTCGTTTTCGTTTTTCTTTTCTGGCCCCAGGTTTTCCATTCCTGATTTGGTCGAGCTAAACCAAGATTACTTGTGGCTTTCAACGACCCCAGCGCGAAAAGTCCAAGTTCTGCAGGATATTCGTGTCTGCAGCCGCGTTCCAATCGGTCGCAAAATCGGTCCGGACAGAGGTGTTGCGCGAGGGTACTTCTTCGGAGAATATGTTGGCTTTAGTGTTGCGGCGTTGACCGGGATAAGTCCCTTCGGCAGCCTCAGAACTTTGAGCCTGGTTTCCTAGCGCTCGCTCGCGAAGTCTCTTGATCTCACGCAGTCTGTTGCGCCACGATGAAATGTGCTCGCCTCCTTGGCTGTGCCAGACAAGCGAGAAAACAGACGCGTTGAGAGCGAGAATCCGAACGAACGGGGCCAGGTTCTTCCCGGAGATAAGCTTTGGCACCGCAGCAGGTGATATTTCTGGGAACCCGGGCTTGCTCATCACCTTCACTTGGTAAAACATGTTCTCAAAATCGGTTCGTCTCGACTCCGCGCTGCTAGGATCATTGGTGAGACGGCACACAGGGTTGATAACAATGTTGACAAAGTTGAATTGAGAGGGTATTGTATTGAAGTTGAAAGGTGTATTCGATCGGTTGAATACGATGTTGACGAAATCATTTCCTATGTGGCGTTTCTTGTTGATGCAGGATGGATCGTTATCAAAGTTCGTAGGCATCATGGTCGGAACATGGTAGACAATCTCCGTAACCCGGTCACGCCATGCATAAGTGAATTGGCCATCAAAGTCCGCATGCAACCCTTGAGTATTAAATCGAGCACCCTGGAGCGGCACTTTGGTTCCGAGTCTTGACAGAAAGTATTCGTAGTCTGGGCTGCCGCTGGTATTCGAGAGAATTTCTGCTTCAGTAGTCTGGCCGTTGTCGATGTATATGACACCAATCTTGTGTCCATCCACAATGTCATTGCGGTCAAAGGTGTTCAGTGCTCGGCGTGTGATGTCATCTTCGGGAAGAGGGATCGGTTGCATCACCGTAGGTGTCGGGAAAGCCGTGGTTGTCAGCTGAAGCATGATATGGCTCGGAAGGACAGCAGTGCGCATGGTGTCAGAATGTAAGTGGGCATCCGGCGTGGGTGGGACTTGGTGAGGAAGAACAGGTGCAGTTCGTTGCTGAAACATTGCGTAGGTAGTCCCCGACGCTTGCCTCTTGGTGACCTGAGTCAAGCCTGATACTCCAGCCGTCTCAACAGTCACGATGCTCATACCTACAATCCAAGACTTCTTCACTGCAGGTCCATCCTCAGGCGTGGGGGGAAAGGTCGGATAGGGTATAGTGTCCCCCAAATCCGAAAAGGCCGCTCTCTGCATTAAGTCGATGAAGACCTGGCTTGGTTCTTC